TGGCCACCACATGCAAAACCATTCCCCTTTTCCGGGGTTGTCTTGCCGTTTCCTCTCCATTGCACCTTTTGTTACTTTCATTTGCACCAAAGCTGGTGAAACTGATTCATAAAACTTGTGCTTCCTAAATAGACAGACTGATATCCCTGAAGTTTAACTGACCTGGTGTCATACTGTGATGATCAGGTGTTCCTTTAATTTTTTGAGCAGTATCGTTGACTCACTGGGGTTGTTAATAGTGTATTCTTCTTTTGTTAGACAATCTAGGTAGAACAGTGTCAGTGGTTGGACAACTGAGCGGACCTGGCTCTCAGAGGTGGCTGCCATTACAAGCCAGCTGGTCCAGCCACTGCTTAACCTGAGCAAATACAATGCAGATGCTGTGTGTCAAGCCACATATCTGCTCTTTGCTTGGATGAGGATAGGATTCAGGGATGCTTTGTGTTCAGGGTAGATTAAGTCTGGAAAATAGTGCTGCTTATTGTGGGTCTTTGAAGATTTATGACGGCATGGCCTGACACCCCCGTCTTTGGGGCCAAATAATGGGTAAACATCGTTTAACTCGTATACTGAGCTTCCATATGAATGCACTCCCTTTCTTTGGCACATTCAATTGTGTATTGCTGACCGCATCATTATCTCAGGATCAAAACAAAATGTATTCATACCCCCTCATCAAGCAGTGCAGAAATGTAACAAAACAGGTGAACAGAGGCATTTCCTTGAGTCTAACAAGCTATTTTTAAAAGGGAGATTTTTTTTTTTTATCTGTTTAAAATACCAAACTCATTTCCATCCTTTTTAACAGCAGGCAAACAAAAATGAACCTAATCATGGCAATTTTCCACAGGTATTTCACTCAGAGACATATGCATCCAGGAATGAAAGAAGATACTAATTTGGCTGCAAGGGCCAAGAAGGATTTTGTGATTCTGTTCGTGTGTGTGTGTGAGTAAGTCTGTGTCTGTCAGTGCGTGGGTGCATGAATTTCAGAGAAGTATTCATACACCAGAAACCTGAAGCAGCACACTGAGGCTTCCAAGTTTTTATATTCTATACACCCTCTGCTACCCCACCAAATCCCCAGGGACTAGAAAAATTTAATCATACTGAACATATTTGTAAAGTGAGGTGACGCACTAACAGATAAATACCAGCATGAAAAAAGGAGTAATGTCAAGAGGATTCCTACTGAATATCTAGTGAAAGCAACACATTCCCAGAGGAGCAGACAGGCTGCTGCACCCTACCCTCAAACACCGATGTAAGGATGGGGGGGGCACTTTTAGGAAGTGTTTCATATTAAAATTGCCAGTGGATCTTCCTGGCAGGACAATTTTGCTGATAAGGGTGCTTGTTAGTCAGAGATAAGCATGCAGGTACAGTGCACATGTGCACATTTAGATGATGTTTCAAATTGCTATCTTTCTGTCCATAAGCCAAAATTGTAATGTACTCACATAACTACTAAAACAGATTTTTTGAGAACTTATTGGGATTCTTGTGTAGGCAAAAAAACAACAACAACAACAACAAAACTTGCCCTTTACATTGGGGCTGCAGTGTATTCCAGGAATGAACATTAAAAATTCTGTGCATGCTCTTTTCTTTATGTATTGGAGACATTCCAGTTACTCAGAGTGAGCTAATTGACACACCAGAACCTAAAACCTGCAATACTGGGCATTTTCAGATGCTTAGGGTGTACAAGCATGATCTGGCACCAAATTCAGTCAGCCAAGCTGGAGAACTGAAATCTCCATATGGTATTTTTAGGCCTTGCTAATTCTTTTGGCTATGTAACACATCAAATGTGGAGGAGGGGGTTTTGATTCGCAGAGTCCCACTGTTTAAAAATATGGTCATTGCTTGTAGTAAAGATGACTCACAAAAAGATTAGTAGATAATGGCAGCATGTGGAGATAGGCATGAAGGCAGTCTACAAATTTACCCCTACCTTTTATGACATTGGAGACATCAAGGTTGGCGGCGGGGGGGGGGGGGGGGGGGGGAGAGAGAGAGAGAGAGAGAGAGAGAGAGAGAGAGAGAGAGAGAGAGAACAAGAGGTGCCATGTAGCTTTTATCCATCAGGGCATATATGAACAATGTCCCAGTTAAAGTCAGGCAAAATTTGTTGCAAAATTATTTGTCTCAGTTACATATTGTCATTGTCTTGACAGCATTTGAATGACTGCATTTTTGTATTGTTCAGAGCTACTTTGCATTGAAAGGTAGTTTCCATTAATGAGACATTAGTTACACCACATATAATCTAAATGTTTTTGTTTTATATAACCTAAATATACCCTATTATTAGCCAAATTTCCCATGTGTGGGAATGGAGATGTTCAAATTCTACCTTGTTTCTGCACCATTTTTATTATATTATTGTACTAACAGGCTACAAACAGTAGCCTCACTCACCTACTCTGCTTATAGTGCAAGATTGATCAGTCTTTATTCATTTTTCATGTTTCAAAAACATGACACACGGGTAAATGTGTTAAACTGAAACATAATGTGACCAAGCTTTAACTTCACCTATTTTAGCAGGGATTCAGCCTGTAAACAAGATGATGAAAACAATCCAGGCAGTCTAGATTGAGTAACATTATTTTCAAGGGTTTATCACACTTACATACCATAAAATGAAGGATTTTAAAGCTTTGAAAAGTTATCACTGCCATAACTATTCTATTTTTTTGCCACAATTGAGTGTTAACCAGTAGAAAAGCAGCAGTCATTTTACAAAGTAATCTACCAGGAATGTGTGCTTGCACATTTGACTGGATGGACCAGGTGGTTTTACTTGTGCTGCAGCAAAAGAGGAACCGATTTTAACTTGAGCTGTTTACCCAGGCACCTCGGCCACGCTGTTAGATCGTTTCACCTCAAATATGCCTTTTTTTTTTATGCATGGCTAAAGGCAGTACGTATAGAGAAGCCAGTCATATTAGGCAGTATGTCAGGCAGCAGGCAGCAGGCAGGCTGAGATAAGGTAGGAGCAACAAGTCCTCACAACAAAATACAGTAGTTTGCTTGTCAGTTCCTGCCAAATAAAGCCTAATCTGAGGGTCCAAAAGCAATTCAAGTTTTCACACAAATAAAATTTCTTGATTATGGCTGGGGAGCAATTATCTACATAGTTATACCAAGCCAGTGTTAACTGTTGGTAGATAATTGGATGCAAACTGCAGACTGGTGTCACCCATCAACCCCAACTATATCTTCAGCCTTTGCCACTTAAAGAGGCCAGCAATGGTTTACACAGCTAAAAGGGTGTTTGGCAAGAACAAAAAACATTTTAAGTGTCTGAACAAGCAGTGGTGGTGTATTACAGGTAAGGACAGTCTCTGTTGGATGATTTGAAGTAACTGAGGAGTACAGAGAAAGGTCAGGATTACGAGGCAACACTTAAAGTTGCTCAAGCCCACAATTCAATTTATAAGATCAGTCTGGCTCTTAATAATATCAAAGACTGCACATTAAAAGGATGTTGCAGAGGATTCTGGACACTAGGACACATCTGTCCTAGAAGAGGTATTTAAATCCATGAAGGTGAGCTCAGAGATAAAGTTCAAAGTATCTAAAGATGTGCATGGTGTGTTTTTACAGGTAGAGTTGACACTCATGTATAAGGATGTTGTAGGGCAGGTGCAACAAGACAGGGGTAACAGGGTCATGCAAAGGGCAGGCTTTATGGAGCAAGGTTCCCTGAGGGAAAAGCATGCTGCTGATGGAGGAAATGCACCAGCAAGAAGAAACAGCAAGGAGTAGATGGGTTGTTCCTGGTAAAACAGTCAGTGGAGAAATTGTGAATGTGAAGTGAGAAACTAACTTGAGGGAGGTTTGTGGTGTGGAGCAAATTGGATTAAATTCATGATGTTAGCTATGATTTTGGCACATCTTAGGTTATGTCTCATGTTTAAACCATCCATTATCTATACTGCTGTCCTGAAGAGGGTTGGGTGGATTCTGGAGCCAATCCCAGCTGACATTGGGCAAGAGGCGGGGTACACCCTGGACAGGTTGCCAGTTTATCACAGATGTCCAAATCACAGATTCAAAATATCCATCTATAGCTATGAGCTCACTGCCAGTGCTGACATTGTTATATCTCCACTTTTCCAAAAGTACAGTGTCTGTCCCATTTTGATAAGCCAGGTAGCATAAATTATCTAGCTGCAGAAACTGAGAGCAAATAGTTGGAAGTTCATTTGTCATCTGATATGAATATATTGTTGCATTTGTCCACAGAGTGTAATAGAGGAAACGAACTAAAGGATTTCTGAGCTGGTATATTTTAGGACCGGTATGGTCGAAAACAGATTAGCAGAGTGAGGAAGCATTTGATAAGCCCATAGGAAAAAGTGAGTGCCATCACAGCTAGTGCAGATAAAACACACGGTAGATGGTTTAGTCTGTGGAGCTCTCATGGGAGGACGCAGGGGAGATGAGCATGTGAAAGGAAATGCTTTGGTGCACCAAGGCAGCAATAGAGATGGCACACTAGGGTGGTAAAGTTGCAATATGATGAGAGTTTGTAGCAAGTTAATCATATAAATTACTACTTACCTAAGTTGGTCATTTGCTGGCAGAGCTTAACATTAGTAGCGATGTCCCTCATTGTACTGTGTTGGTGTTACTTGCCACGTTACTATCTGACTTAAACTTGGTTCTATTTGGTGTAGGCAACATGGATAAAATCTTTGGTCATAGTAACGCATGTAATTTACTGCATGTACCCACAAAAAAAAGCTTCTATTTGAATTAAAAATTTAAATAAAGGTCAACAGTTAACATTTATTATGTGGCTACAATAAAGCCATAGTCCCTTTACTTCAGTCATTACATCCGTGCAATCAAACATAAACTAATGAGGACATTTTATTTAACTGTTGCCACATCATTCTTTTGACAGCTGGATTGGTTCTCTGAATGGAGATGGATGGTGACATGGGTTTTTCCTTCCTATTGTGTGTGCTTATTCTATATTCAAGACCTTGGCAGATGCTGTGCAGTCTCCATCAACTCCACTCACCCTGCAGCAAACTAAGAACCTTTTCCAATCTGCTGCAAGACAAGTATGTGTGCACCAGTGTGTGTGCGTGTGTGTGTGCAGGTGTGTTATCAACTGCAATCCCTTGAGAATGGATAAACAACTAAATATGAGTCGTCCCATCTCATCCCTCCTCCTTTTCCTGTTTCATAGGGCAATGATGAGGTGGCAGCAATGAAGGCAAATCTATCTGTTGATTTGCTGATGACTCTGCAGACCCCCCACTCCGCTCCCTCTGAGCCCTGGGCCCCTAGGGAGAGTCAGTTCCTGAATGTGCCTCTCTGCCACAACACTAACAAGCCAAGGGTGGCCGTTCTCCAAATAAGCCCAGAGGTGACAGAGCTTTGGAGAAGCCCCCTAACCTCAGCGCCACTCACTCCGTCGGGTGCAGGGACCCAAAGACTCAGGTAGATACTCAGATTAATGGGTTAATGTGGTGACACAGCACATGCTGGCACAAAAATAAGTGCACAGGGCATGCAACACACCACATTCGCCCATCTGTAAGCACACAGCCACACACACAAAGACTGTCAGTCAAGCAAACAGTGTCTGTGATCTGACATGAGATGGAAGGTGCTTCTGTAACACTTAATTTCAAAAGTGTAATTGGATGTCTGGGTCGGGTGGAAGAGGAACTTGACATTGGTAATATCAAAGCTGACATTCATCTAAGGCTGCCAAAATAACTGTTATTTCTGGGGAAAAAAACATACATCAAAAACAGACCTGATATTAATTTATTTCACATGCAAAACATACATCTGTTTCAATGCACATAAAGAAATAGAGCAACTTCACCCAAGGTTTCATTTAAAATACTGCTTCATGTTCTTGTTAAATGCAGACAGGAAGAAAATATACATATGTTCTTCACATTATAATTCCCAAAAATAAATTGCTTTCAGAGGTAAAGAGCATATTAATTCAAA